TACCTACAAATCACAACCAATCATTGCGGGTGGCTGTGCCGGGAGTCGAGGTAACGCTTTTGCTACCTGCTACCATAACCACTGCAGTTAAAAGTTGCATTATTTTTAATGAATTCCATTTCACACTGTTTGAAAAAGCACCAGTGTTACTTTTTCCCAGTATTTTTGTGGATGTAGAAGTGTCTGTGTGAATTCATCTAAATTTAGAGGCATAAAAATTATTCTTCTTTGTTCCTGTGTGAAAGATTATAGCAATCCGTGAGTAAAGTAGCAAATTTTTAAAGTATATCTACACTATCAGTGGTAATACACATGTTGTTTTCGTATTTTGGTCCCATTTTATTGGTTTACTAGTTGTGTAATTAACAATTTTTCTGGTGATTAGTAAGGCACAGAACACTAGGTAGTTTTAAAATCACAAATAAAATATGTGTTACTTGGCTTCAGTCATAAGTCAAAGTAGGTCTTAATTACGTCTTATGTCTTGATGATATTTACAGAGAAGAAATGTCACAGCTAGCTTTTACACTGCGGTTTCCATTGGCTCTAAACTGAAACAGTTTAATAAGAAATCTGGATTTTAAACCTCAAGATAAAAGAGTTGTAATGAATGGCGTAAATCAAAGATACCCACAAACACAGTCAGCCCAACTATTTGTTTTTATACATGGGCAACATGGTATGTGTTCACTGAGAAAAAAGTGAACTTTTAACGGGAGTGATTCATCGCACGATGGAGAAGTAAAAAGTGGGGTTATTTTATGAACATTCTACTTATGTAGATCAAGATCTACGTGGGAATAGTTTCGGACGCTTCGTATTGGCTCTAACAATATGTATATCAGTTCATAATCCGTCCGATGGAGTATAACTTAACTGGAAACAGTTTTCTACTCAAAGAAATGAAGAACTTTAGTTAACTATGTAAGTCTGCATTATACGAAGGAGCGTTTGATGATTAATTTTCTGTTTTATGAAAGGGGATGATGAGCACTTTTTTGTCTACGTATTAAAAAAAATTATCGCATGTTTCTATTTAAGGATTTAGTATTAAATAATAGCAAAACATTCGGAAATATATTTAAATCGACTAGCTTTAGGCATCCACGGCAGGCGGGCAGAAGTATCTAAGCCTTTGCCAAATATTATGGCCATAGTAATCATCAATGTAAGAAGGCGTATCTGCAATTGTCAGAAGTCTATCAAACAAAATTATGCGGCTATTCCACATTCTCCTATATGGAAATTATTTTTGTTTAAATTAATGTCCACAAAGGCACTTACATTTACTTAAGCACACCAACTAAACCTGTCTATTACCTATTTCGCTACGTAAAATAAACTAGAAGTAGGGTAGTATTTTTAGAATAAACTTTGCCATCATGGTAAAGTTTTTACCTCCTTTGAAATGAAGGCACTTTCCTTGGGCAGAGGCACATTTGGCCGTTTTTTTCGTTAAAAATAATAAGACAAAAATACATTAGCAGAAAATACGTGGGTGTTTTTATTGCATTCCGGAGATGTGATTGGTTGGTGGCGCTGCCCCATGCTGTATGTGACCAATGAGCGGCATCCACTGCACAGAGGCGCTTTCATTTATTGGTCCTCATTTTTGACACAAATAAATTGATAATAAAATTAGAATACAAGGAAATGCCTTTGTTTTTTTGTACGGTTTAAGCCCTGCTTTAAACTACGGAGCATACGAATGGCGCCAAGGTTACAATTTGCTATAAAATATATGCGTGCGCGTATGCTGTTGCCGTTTTTTCGTTTTCTTTCACAAGATTAAGGATGATTTATGCAAATAAGAAAACTTGGAAGCAAAGTCCCGCCTATTTTAAATCACCAAAATTGCAAAAAGTAATGAAGGAGACTTAGTGAGGAAGCAATCTTAAGGATGTTTGTCTAAATTATTAGTCCTTTTTCATTGAGATACAAAACAGCTACGGAGTCAGTCCACTTTTAAAAAGGATGTCTTTAAAGGGAAAAAAACTAGCTTTTCATTCCCTAACTACCTTTTCCCTACTTGGCGAGAAAAGATGGTAGGCAACACTTAGGGAAATATAATCAACAAGAAAATACGGAGGATGAGGCAGTATTCCCTCTCTCCCTACATCCCCATCCTAAAGTAGGATTTGAGGTCTTCTTCGGGGTAATTCTTACAACAGTATAACTTATAATGTCTTGCGCTGTAGCATAAGTGCAACGACTGAACATTATCCCTATTGACTGATTTAATGGTCCTAAGTGATTTCAACGAAATTACTCATGTGAATGGGTTATACGTTCTGTTACCGAATAACATGCCCTCTCTGAATGCTCTACAATTAAGTTGACAAGCCTCTGACTTCCTTATAATTCGAACCCCTTTACAACTCGATCCTCTAAGCAGGAGCTTTCGAGGCACATCCCAACAAATAATTAAAGGTAGCTGTACGGAAAATAGAGGGAACTTTTGGCCATCATAAAGTTGAATTCGAGCTCTAAAGCAATAGTAAAGCAATGTCTCTTTCGATTACTAGATCATAACTGGGTAGCCCCTAACAGTGTCTGGTAAATGTGTTGACTTCCTGTAATGTGGATACCCGACAGTTAGATTTTCACTTGCATTTAAGTTTCTATTGCATACAGGATTGGAAGTCAAGATATTAAATGCATTTTGTAAACAAAGTCAAAACTTCTGATGTTATTTTGCAGATGAAAGGAGGATCAGAGCATCAACTTTCGGAGTTGGGCCTCACTGATTGGCTGCGATATGTTTCCCGAATCCACGGAAATCTCGTCAAATGTTTCTCTAAAAATGGTATTTAACTATAAACTGCACGCAAAAAGGACTTTCGTTTAAAGATCGACTGGCGTTATTATATTAGAACCCTGTCTACCGATATAAGGCTGACGATTTCAAATGTTTGCAATAACCTAGACATCTAGATTCATTGAAAGTAAAATGAACAAAAAGAAACTCGAAAGAATTTTTTATTACTAGGTTTGGTAGAAGCTGCCATTTTAAAAAAAGGATAGATTTGTTAAAAAACCACCCTTTTGTTTTTAACTAGGCTATCTATTATTCATCTGAAATTTAAATGCACAGTGATGCCATCTTGCCCCTAGTTTTCTTTGCTAAAAAGCATATAGTTATGGCATTCATTTGCTTAATACATATAAAACTAGCTGTACAAAATGTCAGTTAGCTTTTCTCAAAACACTTTCACTCGATCCCCCGTAAAAACCTAGCATCTTGGTAGTTTTACTCCTCTCCAGCACAGAGTGCGAAAAAAATGTCTAATTTTTGGTAAAACTCGAGACAAATTTAATGTTGGTAAAGCGACAGAAAATTTAAAAGACTAATTCAGAGCATCCGAAGTAAATATGCAAAGCGCTACGAGCAAAATAAGACAAATTTCGCACATATTTTATGCTACAATGTGAAGTGGATTAACTCGTTAATTTTGCCGATGGGGTTTTCTTTATAAACAGTAAATATGTGTTAATAAGCTGAATTTTTGTCTGTTAAGAAAAAATCTCATTACCCTACTGATGGTAGATCATCTATCCCATCTGTGGTTGCACTGTCTTCGCTGATTGCAGAATCAGTTTGAAGATTTGTTGGGGTGTCAGGCACTTTTGTGGTTATACCATCTTCCGACTTATTTTTCTGCAAATCAGGTGCACGCATTTAGCATAAAACCACCAGTGTAAACAATCCATAAATCAGATCTGCTCTGGCTTTACCAGCGCCTTGTAAAGGTCGTAAATTTGGCCAATCCGTTGCTCCAACGCCATCATTGTTTTCTCCACTCTACCCTGCGGTGACGAGTCCAAATCAGCTTCTGCGTCGGTGTCGAGATGTACGACTACTGTGAGAAATTTGATCCCTCTAAGAACGTGCTTAGCCTTCCTTCTTGCCCTTCTGAGTGATCTCGCCAAAGCCACCGCCTTCGCCTTTGCATTTGTGTACTTTTCCTAGAATTAAACATGGATAATAGTTTTTACTTAAAAGAATGAGTAAAAGTTTTATGTTAATAACTTACGTCCAGGTGCAATATTTGCTCCCGAAAGAGTTTAGCGTTAGCCTTCATTTCGTCTAGAGTTTGGACCTTTTTCTCTTCAAGTTGATCAATTTCTTCTTTGATTTTTGAACAGTCAAAATCCTGGGCGTTTGTGTATTCCACTGCGCGGTTTATTTCGGCTTCTTTAGATATGAAAATTTCCACGATTTTTTCAACTTCAGTCACACCCAACAGATCACCCAGTTTTTTAAAGGCTTCTTCAAATTCCTCTAGCTGATTTATCTTCAATTCATATGTAACTGCTTGGTCTTCTGAAACAAATATATGCCACCTCATTTACAGTTATCTAACATGTATATCTAAAACCTATTATTTGTAATTAGTCAATTTGATCTTAAAATATTTTTTTGTGTTTTAGTAGTGGCATGCAAGTCGAAAAAACTTTCGATTTTAAAATGAGCACTAATTGGGCACTCTAGTTATAAGTCTACTATATAATATGGTTAATCATTGTCAATCCTCGCTTATGTGAGTAAATAAATGGTGAGAATAAATTAAAATCAATTATCTTTTTGCCAAATTAGGATACGTTAAGGGTTAATTTGTACAAAACCATTCAAATAAACATATTGGTAGTTGGTTTTAACAAGACAATAGTTAAAAGGATTTACCTCTTTCAGGCATAATTAAGTGCTTATAACGGCTTTTCGATTTAGTTTTCATAAAGACTTGCAACCGACATATATACTCCTTCATTCGTTGACGTTCTTTTATCTCGGTATCAAATAAGTCTCTGTCTTTTTCATTTTTTGCCGAAACGACTCTAATTTTCTTTGAGAGTTTTTCGCTACATTATTGGATATTTAATGGTAAAACCTCTACCGCTCATCATGTGCTGCCAAAGAAGATTCAACAAGTTTGTTCTTTTCCTGCGATATTCTCGCCATTTCACTGATAAGCTTTTTCCATTTTTCAACAAAGAGCCGTCTATCAACATACATTATATCAATTTCTCCTCGAATCTTGCTAATGGAAGCAGAAAGCAAACCTAGTTTCTCATTAGCCTAATAGATAAAAGATGTTGCGGCACTACTCTCTGAAGCTTATTTTCTATGATGGCTTTGGACTTTGCGTAATCATTTAGGTATTCAGTATAACCCAAAGCTCCGGACTTCATTAATTCTCTGCTTTTTTCATTCCAGTAACGTATCTAAACTAAACCTATTAATTGTCAAGAAAAAAACCTGGCGGTCTAGTTCTACTTGGTTTTGCCTTTCTTTTTCAGTTCTTTTCATTATTTGGTCAGAAATGATAATATATTCCTTAAGTTTGCCAATGGACTTTTCGTCTTTTTTTCGACTTGCTATGCAATTCATTAGTGACAGTTGTAAGTTGAGATCCTCATTTTCTGATTTCATAAAATCTAACTCATTCCTTTAATAGTAAATATCATTTTAAAATAATTACTCGTATTTGCAAAATAAAACTCGAAAGCGCCCCACTTCTCGCTTTTTTTCGCGCTCAACTTTCCGACATTGTTGTACGATTGCACAATACTCTGTCTGCAATGGTGTGTCATCATCAGCGTTTTTCTCAGGCCTTTGGGAGGTCATTTACCTGGGTTTCAGAAGTGCAATAGCGTCTCTTTCGCACTCAAGGTCGACGTTGGATAGAACAAACAATAACAGGATAAACATAAGACGCAGTAGATAATTGGCAGCATTTCAGCAACTTTTGTGAAAAATTTAGATTTATATACTTTGAAGAAGCACCGAATCCAGCAAAAAATAGGCAAAATTCCAAAAGCCTCACTTTTAGAGCTAAAATGCTAGAAAATTTCATCAAAAAACTAGTCCTCCATTTCGCTGATAAAAAAAGCACACAAAGGAATTTTCTGTCAGAGTTAAACCTTTCGTGGCGTTTGCTTATCTAAATCAGTGAACCGCTTGGCCTCTAATTAGTTCCTTATATGCTCAAATGTTAGCCTTCGGTATCCGAGGCAACATTGTAATGGCAATCGTGCAGTCGATTCTCTCTTTGAAACGGCCACCAAACTGTTCATCTAAATAAGTTGCAGCATACAGCTGTCGAAAAAATGAGTTGGAAAATGTGTGTTTTGTAGCGCCCTAAATTTCCATTAGAACGAAAGAGGACAAAATACTTGAGCAGAATATGCATGTTCGGCCAATAGTGGGTATTGGAGCCATTAGCATGGTGAGAAGCCAGTTTACCTGGCAACGGCTTAATTACGGGTACCCAAATTGGACCTTTTACCAAAACAGTTTGTTACACAACCAACTAATTAGGGTTTTCATCCCATACCTGTTCGTAATTAGGATAGAGGTCACTAAACTTTAAACGTATACAGTCCCATCCCATTGAAAACTTTTCTGATTAACTTTTAAAACTCACTCATCTATCTAAATTCGTCATTCTTACCTCACTAGGTTTGGGTTTACACAAGTCAATAACTCCATTTATAATCCCACTGTCTATTTATAGTAACGTCGACCAGACGGGGTATGGAAATCTAGTATTGCATAGCGTCTGGAGTCTTGTCTGAACCCGTAACGAAAGAATGCTGTAGAAGAACATATTGTAAAACGATGGCGATTTATCTCTTGGTATGGGTGAGGCGCCACTTTTAGACTTTTGAATTTGCCTTCTTGTACCACGCTGGATGGGCTGGCCTTCCGGCCATGCCAGCAGTCCAAACACCTTCTCTGTGCTGATTATCTATTCTGCCCGAGCATTGTGTCTTCCTTCGTCTTCAGGGAAGTCTCAGGACGATAAAATATGTTGCCAAAGTACAGAAAAGTTGAGAGACTACTGGCAGAGTCCTAAGACAATCTTGGGGAGTGGAAGTCTAAACTATTGAGGCTGAAGTGCCCGCATAGTTTAACTTACAGCTAATAGAAATATTAAATCACAACATTCGAGTCAAAACATTACCTTCAAAGCAAATTATCCGATTCGTTACGGTTGACGATGCAGAAACAATCTAATCTTTAAATTAGTTACAACGAAGTGAGTCAAGGAAATGGCTATCAGTGATTTCATTAGGCAAATTGAGAAAAGTTCTCTTCACTCAGGAATAACGCGGAAACTTTGAACAAAAGTAGCAGAAGAAGCATACAAAGAGTGATTTTACTGCATCTTATTAGTTTGTCTCAGTTGCCTTTTTTAAACTAATCAGCTGTAAGCGATGCAAAATTATGTCCTCTTCCTAATTTTAATTCCAAATTGATCAAGAGAGAATGCTGTTTAAAATCTTAAGGCGAATTTTTATTTGCTGCCTAATTTTTAGCCAAAAACGATGTACCTCAACCAGTACTTACTGCATGCAAATTTACCTACCTTTTCCACAACCACGTCGTCAGGTGTTCTCTATTGAGCCACATTTTTGGGGCAATGTTTATGTAGAAGCAGAAGTAATATCAGTGTGTTAACACAGGATTCATCTCATTTATACAGTTTCAAAGTAAGAGACCATTGTTTTTCCCTCCATAATGATTTCTAAGGGCGACCTTGATTAAATCTGATTCGCTGACTGTTTTAACCTGCCATGACAGCACCCAGCTCACTGATTCACAAAAAATCACTGGTTGCAGTATTCGTCATCCAGTATGAAGACAGGTAATTTACAGAGCCTATTTGATGTCGGTTGGTAAATATACATAATGGCTTTTAACAGTGGCAGCAGAGAATGATGAGACCAAGGAAAATGCATGGCAACCGTGCTTGTACATGCATTTGTCCTTCAGTCTTTGTACAATTGGCTCATGTACTAAGTGTGAAATTATGGAAGATAACGGTTAGTTAGTTATGAAACCAAAGTTATTTGTTGATGTCAGATGAACTAATGTTGCAAATAACGATATGGTATATCACCGACTAGTAGAGAATAAATTTTGTCAAAGAAATGTCTCGGATTTTCTTTGGATTAATGGAATCTAAGAGCTCATAAAAGGGTCAGGATTTATGCAAACCAGTGTTCCGAGCAGGATTTTTACGTTATTAATCAAGATGAGGAGAATTTTTGAAATTACCTTGGAAAGTACCTTTTACTTAAATGGGAAATCCATTTTGCAATTGCGGACTATGAAGTAATTCCTGCGAGTTTTGTCGTTATCTCATTCCTCCTTTGCTGATCTTTGCAGATGTAATGCTGCAAAGGCATTCATCTTAATTACTGCCAATCTAAGTTCTCATGTATTTACACTTAATTGGATCTCTTACAATTTCAACAGTGTTGTAAGGGGTACTTTAATGGCCGATTTCACCCCCTCACCTTCTGATTGCGGGGCGTGACTGGAAGTTAGAGTATTTACCTAAAAGTAGGGGTTTTTTTTCTAAAAATAGCACGGAATACTATAATAGATGTCATTCAGTTATGATATTTTTGCTTAACTACCAAGCGATTTCTTCAAACATGAGCTCTGTATGAAGCGAAAGTAAAAGTTGCTAAAGTTTTGGCATATTTCATAGCATTAATATCCCCGTTGCACTCGAATTACGCCTGAAGAAGTTACATAAATATGGGTTTACAACTTGCATTGTAAGTCGTGTACACAGCGCCTGGGAGACTGACCACATGAATGACAAAATCTAATCGTCATGTTATTAAAGAAGAGGCTAAATAGCGTAAAATTGAAGTTTTGTACCAACACTATTCTGTAACGGAATGCATTTAACTTCAAATATTACAAAAGAAAGCAACAGCTTGATTTCTTTTTATTTCTGACATGAACATACGTTCTAGTATGCTTAAGGTACGAAAAATAATGCAAAATTGTTGTGACTGAAATTTACTAAGGTGGGATGTACATTTGCTAATGAACCGGAACTTAGTACACTCTCGATTTTCAGTCATACCAACGAATTACTTTCTTGTCTTTTAGAACTTCCTTCTTTGAATTTTGACTTAGAGATAACTTTGCAATTTGAATGGCATTGTTTGAAGGAGGCACTATTTCTTTCAAATGAAAGTACGATTGTGGAGATAAAAAAGACAAGGAAATGACTTTTTAGGAACGATTTGATGATGGGAATTTCAGGCTTCAAGTTTGAAAGGGTTTTCATTTAGGTGGACTATTCAAGAGGAAAATTCGACGCCAAAAAATCCACGACGGCCCTAAGAATAACTGATGGTCTGTAAAATGTTGTAACATATCTAAGCTTAGATAAAATGACATTTTAGCAAGAATTGTTGATTTGATGCTTGTGAAGTCTTGGTAACATAGTGACAAGTAAATAAGTTGTTAAACAAGGTCGGAGTCAATATTTGAATTGTGTGGGAAATATTCTATTAGTAAAGAAGTAAAAAGCTTCTGATG